GGTGACTCACAACCATCCCTCGACATGTACATGGTACACACACATACATAGATGGAGGCAAAACACTCTTATGAAATAAGTAAATCTTCAAAGTATTGATTTTTATGGGAATAGTTTGCTCCTCTTTTGAACAATAAATCCAAGCTACTTCTAGGTATAATTAGGATATGAACATTTTGGTTTGTAGTACTTATAAACACTACACCAGACATTCTCTTTTTCCCTAATTGTCATTTTATTGTGATTTCTGTTTAAGAAGATACTGTAGCTCATCTAGAATAAGCAAATCAAGAAACCTGAAGACAAAGCCACTTAGAATATAAATCTGATCGAGGAACATATACAGTAATTTGAAAAATATGAATTATTCCATGAGACTTAAAGTGAGATTCCTTTATCAAATAGCCCTCAGTGAGGGCAGTTAATTGGTTCTCAATCAGTAATAGTACCAGTAGCAGTAGTAATTCAGAAGAAATTTAAATGAATTCTAAATTTTCACTTTATTATGTTTCAAGAGATTATAGTTAGGTGACTGAAGATGTAGCTCAGTTGGTAGAGTGCTTGCCTAGCCTGCACAAAGCCTTGAGCGCAGTCCCACCACTGCATAAACTGGGCATGGTGGCATGTACTTCAGTCTTAACACTTAGGATGTGGAGTCAGAAGGGTCAGGAAAGAGTTCAAGGTCAGCCTGGGATCCGTGAGACCCTGAAATTTGTAAGTCAAGTTTCTCCTTTTCACCTAAGATACGAACTTACTCTTTCCATTATATTGGGGAATTTTAATGTTTAACAAATAGTGATGCTCTCCATTAACCTAAATTCCCAGCATATATTGTTAAAAAATGAGTTGAATAAACATATTATTTATATAAAAGGGCTCTCCAGTCTCCTCTGAAACTAGTAATAAGTCAATTATTAAAATGTTTATATAATAATACAGTTTTTTTATATTTTTATTTTTGCATATTGTGGTGTGTGTGCATATGTGGAGTATGTGTGCATGTGTCTGGGGGTGTTTAGGCATGTTCGTGTGTGGAGGGCCGACGTCACTCCTGGTGGTTATCCTCAGTCTGTCTCTATTCAGCAGGGTGGGTCTCTCTCTCTCTCTCTCTCTCTCTCTCTCTCTCTCTCTCTCTCTCTCTCTCTCTCTCTCTCTCTCAATTTTATCTGTTTCAACTGATTTAGCCAGCCAGCTTACTCTAGGAAAAGGCGCCCTTGTCCACTTTGCCAGTGCTGCTGCCCCCAGGCCATGTCTGTGGGCGCTGCCAGCAAACTCTTTGCCTCCGCTCCCAGTCAATGTCGTTTTTAATTATATGCTTATTTTTGTGTTGAAATGAGGCATCATGTATAGAAATACCTCTCTAGAAAGCTCCCAAGACAACGTGGAGATATTTCATATATGTTGTAAATGTCTTTCAAAGCTTTATCATTTTGGAGTTGTTTGTTTCACTTAGAGGGGAGAACTGAAGGGTGACTAAGAAAACTGTAAGCTGGAAACAGGTTCTGGATTCAGGAGTTTTGGACTAAGATAGCCAGCTCTCTTATGAAAAGAGAACGCTCTCGGTATTTTTTAGAAAATTTGTGATTTTTAACAAAATTTGAAATTCAGCAATAATTTTTTATCTGATTTCACATCAAAAAGAAAACATTTCTCTAAAAACAAACCTTAAGTCTAGACAAAGTTCATATATATGTATATATACATATATATGTTGCTTGTTTATACATATATATATATATTAATTCCATTGATGTGGAAGCAAGGATAATAAGTCAGAATTTATATCAGAAGTCAAAATCTATAAAAATGGATATTTTTCACTAGGCAGCCATAGTCATGTTGAGCATCCGTGGGGTGAAATCAAGGGATGTTGCCTAGGAACCTGGAATCAGGTGTAACAGAAGAGTGTGACCTACTAATTAATGATCAGATGTCTGCTATACTCAGAGCTTATTCTTGGTGCAACCAGACGAGATCTCACACCATTAATTTTTGTGATTCTATAAATCGTATATCTCCCCTCTTAATACATTGAATGAACTACTGGCTGCTGTAACTCTAGGTTCTCCCCTGAGCTCTTCCTGGATATGGAGATAGGTGATGTCCCTCTAGCAAAATGATAAAGCATGGTGGTTTGCTGGGGAGGGCTTTCTGTGGAGAGCTGTGCAGTATTCAGTGTTTACAATGCACCTGAATTTTTCTCGTTACTGTTTGTTTTGTTTCTTTCACTAGATAACCTGAAAAGAGCATTATATATACTAGTTTTAAAACACTTGCTCTCTTGGATGTGTAGGATTTAATATTTGGCCATAGGTTTATGTGATGTAGGACAGATTCCTAAAGCCAGATACAAATTCAAACGTTCTATTGCACATAGATGGACACTAGCATGCAAGTGGCTGTGGCTGTGACTTTTGGGGAGTCCTTGTCAGTTGGCTGAATAGCAGCTATGAGCAAAATATAGGACATTAAACTTGAAGTTCCAGACAAGACCCTTCCTCTCCAGTTCTTGGGATAGCTCGGTACTTCCTAAATAAAGTGCCAAAAGATCAAGTTTTAGGTTTTTTTTTTTAATATCCTTTCCTTCTAGTACCAATACTGTTAAGCCTGTGATAAAAATGATGCTATGCTTGTGATTAAATATGCTCCAGATTTTCTTAACTCTGTCTCTCCCAGGTCAGAAACACTTGGTTCATACCCGGTGACAGTCTTTGCGGGTTAGCACTGAGTCGCCAGTCTCACTGTGCCTCACACTGCTGTGCTGACCTTTCGCCTTTCCCTTTCCCTTACCCTCACCTCACTAGATGAGTGCAGGGTTGCTTCATCTCAGAACTGCCATGGTGCCTTCTCAGTTGACTTTCAGGGTTTCTATCATTCAAGGGATACTGCAAACCAGTAAACAGAATCCAGAGAGATTCCTTCCCATTGGAGTGAGATAGTAGCATTTAACCAGGCCCACAGGATGAACAGCACCCACTTCGGCTGGTGAGGAGCTTATGGCGGCGGGGGGAGGGGGGACATCCTCCCATCAGGAAAGAAGCTTGAGTCCAGTGCTTTGCCTCAGCATGATCGTGTGGGAGCACAGGAGTCAGCAAAGCCTAAACTGATGAGAACCTGTTACCTAAGCCAGCATTACTCGGATTCCTCTAGTGTACTTCTATGGTAGTGAGTGGTTCCTGGCACATTGCGGGGGTAATGGAGCAGTTCCTTGAGCAGTTGGCCAATACAAAATGGATTCCATGGGGGGTGTGTGTGTGTGTGTGTGTGTACATGTGTATGTGTATACTTGTATTGTTTTGGTATTTTTTGCCCTACTGGGTTTTTGTTGTGTTTTTGGTTTTTTTGTTGTTGTTGTTTCTGTTTTTGTTTTTGTTTTTTTTTTTGAGAAAGAAGGAAGGAGAGAGAGAACATGAAGTTGGGTGGGTAGGGAGGTGGCGAGGATCTTTGAGGAGTTGGGGGCGGAGAAAGAACATGATCAGAATGGTGGGCTTAGGCTGCACCAGCTGAGGCTTAAGTACATTTGTGACACTTTAAAGTCTGTTTGAAGCTTCGTTGGGTTAGTGTTTCTCAAACTACCTATTTGGTCAAAGGAACACCTCTCCTTTTTAAAATGAAATGTTTATGTAAATATCTCACAGAACACAATTAAAGTAGTAGTGCATTAAACTAAGTCCTAAACCACAATGTGTTAATTAAAGAATATATGAGGTTTGCTTTCTCAGTGCTTAGCAGAGCCCAGGGTTTGGGTGTGACCAGGCACTTGGAAAACAAGAAACCCTGTCCTACTCCCACCACTTGGACTGAGCAGGGACTCCATACATGGATATTATAGGACTCCACCATTTGCTTGCTTTCAGAATATCAGGTTATTTACATTTCATATGTGTGTCTCTGTCCATTGTGAGTTTCCACAGTGTCTTCTTTTACCATGCCTCACATGGCACATGGTGATTCCCAACCCTGTAAATGAGAACTTGACCAAATTTATTTTATCCTTCCTCATAGAGGACATTGTATACATAAAGGAAAATAAATTCAAATAAGTTCTTTTAATTTGTACTCAAAAGATAGAGGTAGATGGATTTTGTGATATCAGGGCTAGCCTGGTCTATTTACTGAGTTCCAAGCTGCCTAATGAGATCCTGACAGAAGGAACAAACAGAAGAAAAAAAAAAGAATACTCTACAACAGGGTTGGGATTCATTCAGCCATATAGTCAGACCATTTACCCTCATTTTAATAATTAATTAATGTTAGTAGTATGGGGTTGAATTATCTTGCTGAGCCTATTCCTGAATCAATATAAATCTTATAAATTTGATAAATTCAACTTTAAATCTTATTAGTCCTAGTAACTTGCTTGACAAATTTCAATCCATGTGCCACCTACTCCGTACTAAAAAGATAACTTGATAATCAGCATGGATGGCACCTTAGAGTTGTTCAGCACAGCGTAAAACCTTAAAGGGCAGATGAGACTCACTGTGTGCTGGGTATTCGTTCCTGGCATATAAGAAACACTACTGTAGTTCTTGCTATATTGTTGATCTTATTCTTAACAGATGATGTACATCCTGCCAGATAATTTCCAGTCTTCACGATAGTTTATGCTCCACTGTTCTCAGTTGCTGGACATTTGTTCTTTAATCATAATTGCAGGAACATTTCACCTAACTAAGCAAACTGCAGGATGAGTTAGAGTTGTAGTTGATATAAGCCAAATTGACCATAGCAAATTAAGTGACAAAATAATAAATTTATACAGACTTAAACACCTATCTACTCATCTTTATACCATTATTTAACTGGGTTTCTGATTAGGACACAAGGCTTTTAAATGTTTAAATTTATGAGTGTACACCAAAGAATTCTGTACTTTCCATATTGTAGTAAGCCATATATGTTTGTTATCAGTCACTTTGTTTGAAATGCTTGTTCTGATTTCATAATGGTTTTGTGAAGTCCAGATGTACGAATAACTCACTTATGTTCTTCTGCAGCTTGCTGAAGCACATTCAAGTGTCAAGTGCTTGGACTCCATGTGCTGTTTCCCAGGAGAGACCCCATGCACGTCTGTTGGAAGAATGCTGGAGCGAGTCATAGGAAGGTGTAGTCCCAACCATATCAGCAGGTGCGACATTTCACTGCATGGCCTTTGCTGCAGATGAGTGTCCTATAAAAGGACAGAAAGACTTGCAGCTGCAGATAGCAGTGAGTCCGCTGGCTTTACCCAGCGAAATAGGGTAAACTTATTTCCGGGCCTGGAACACTCTGACAACTCGACCAGAACCTGATATGGAAGACATGTTCTTTAAGTGTTATGAAAGTATTATTCTCTTTCAAAGAACAAAATATTTGGCAACTTTCTTATTGCAATAAGAATCTCAGGGCTGGAGAAATGGGTCTGTGGTTGAGAGTACTGGTTGCTCTTCCAGAGGATCAAGGTTTAATACTAACCATCATAGTAGTATACACTGGTAATCTTAGCACTTGGGAGGCTGGGGCAGAAGGATTGCAAGTTCAAGGCCTTCCTAGATGACTTAGAGAGATCTTGTGTCAAAATTCAAAAGTAATAGAGGGATAGGGTATAGTTAATTTCAAAGCACTTGCCTAACATGTTGGTGGACCTGGAAGGGGGAGGGGTGAGGGAAAGGAAGAGGTTATTAGTTCCTAGATGTTTCAGGTGTTTAATATTTTGTTAAAGTGAGTGCACGTGTGCTTTGAAAAGATGGAAAAACAAAAGATACATTGCCTGATAATTTTTCTCTGTAAGCAGTGTTTGAAAAGAGGAAAAACAAATGCTAGCGTCTTGCAGATTAGAATTGGACATTCCACTGCATTGGAGTGTAGGCAATTAGAATTAAAGGGATACTGTTTCCCATATACTCAGTGAGACGTATTCATCTTCTCACTTTTATTTACTTTCTAATTGTTGGCTGCCTAATACCTGCCCGCTTGAGTTCTCAGTGTTTGAGAGAGTTGTAAACAATACTCTCCTTAAGTCAAGGTGAGGGTCCCAGGCTTCTCTAAATACCATGAAGATGAGACTACTGTTAGTCTCCACTCTGCTTACTTTCTGTCAGTCACTGACTTAGGCTTAACTTATATGCAGAGTCAGTCATTGGGAAACAAGATGCTGGATACAAACGAGTCAGGACTTCTAGCTTTAACCCTGTCTAGGGGAGGTGGAGACCCTGGCAGGAGGTGCATGCTGTGTGTTTAAAGTTACACGCTTTCAGTTTTTATAAAATTACTTGGTAACTTTGATACTGTCCTTGGGCTAAGGGCATGTGTTTTAAGCATGGCAGATTGTTTGTGGAGTTTTTACTTCATCTTTGGTTAATTCCGGCTAATTCAAAGTGACATCTGCAAGTGAATATTATATATTGAATTGCTTAGCCCAAGGCCTTGACAGTCAGTCAGTAGTTAATTCTTCAGATTAGTAAAGAATCTGCAAGTGTCTTCTGATGCTAACCATTTATGACATTCAGGCTGATTAAGCTGAAATCCTTAGAGTAGAATTTATACCCAAAAGTGACCAATAATATGAATGCTTCATTCTTAGGCTTTTAGTGGGTGATTTTTTTTTCCTGTAATGTCAAAATATAAGCTGACTTGATTTTCAGTAAAACTGAATGTATGGGGTTTTGTTGCTGCTGTTTTTTTTTTTTTTACTTTTTGCTCTTTGTGTGTGTGTGTGTGTGTGTGTGTGTGAGAGAGAGAGAGAGAGAGAGAGACAGACAGACAGACAGACAGACAGACAGACAGACAGACAAAGGGGGTAGCTGGAGTAAATCCTGGGTATGTGTATTTTTAGGATTAGTGTGGTTTGAGACTCTCCTATTTAAATCTGCTTCTGTAAATTTTTCTGCTAAAGATTTGCCTTGAGAAACCTATTTTTTATTAGACTATTATTATTTGAAGCTTTCCGTGGGGAAAGGTAATGTGAACCCGGAGGTAGATGTCAGTGCCTCCCGCAGTTGTCCTCCCAGTGTTTATTGAGGCGGGTCACGACTGAACCCAGTACCACAGTTTGCCAGGGCTGCTCACGAGTGAGCCTGTGGAACCCGCTTATCTCTGCCCAGTGCTGGCATCACAGGCTCCACGGCCATGCTCGGCTTTTTATGTAGTTGCTGGGGTTCCAAACTTAAGTTCTTGTGTTTGCATTGCAGACCCTTTATCAGTTCCCCAGCATTCATCTCTCTAGCACCTGGATTGTATAAATTCTTAATAGTATACTTACTACGTACTGAGTTACTAAGATTTCAAAAGCGCCTTATGTTTACTGCCTATAGAAATGTGCTGAAAGTGAATGTGTATATTTGGGCTAATTTCTGTATGATAGCTAACTAAACAGCATAATTTTTCTCAAGCATTTGTATAATCTCTAGAGTAGGGTTCAGTGCTAATTTGAAGAACTCTTTAGCATTTAGAAATAAATCGGTGATTATTTTAAAATTTAAATTGTATTTTGTTCCCACATTTTAGGCTCTGGTTTGTTGTTAGTTTGTTTGTTTTCAACTAACTGTGGGTATGGTGAGCCAAACTTTTCTCTTGTTACTTTAAGGTTGTGGAGTGCATCGGATCCTTTCTATACCAATGACAGGAGCATCTTGACTCTCTCCACAATGGACTCATCTACTTGTTAAAGGACAAGTTCCCCTGTCCTCAGGTTTGGGGTCATTCTATTAAGAGGCCACACTGGCTCTGAAGTTACTGTCTGAAATCTCTGGAGGAGTTGAGAGCTTCTTGGAGTTCCGCAGGAAACAGGCCTTCTCTGTTCTCTTTCATTTGAATGTGAGCTTACTAAACTTTGGAAATAAAGAGATACTTCCAATCTCTTTGTTTGGTTTGTCCCTTCCGCTTAAGGGACTTCTGGTGGCATTATAGCCTTTGCTGGAGCCACTATACTTTAATATCAAGATAGAAGAAAAGGGTAACTCCTGGGTGTATTTTTAGGATTAGTATGGTTTGGGACTCTTCTATTTAAATCTGCTTCTGTAAATTATGCTAAAGATTTGCCTTGAGAACTCTATTTTTTTTATTAGATTATATTTGAAGCTTTTCATGGGAAAAGTTAATGTGAATATTAAGGAATTTGGTCCTTCAGTGACCTGTGTAGTTAATTCATTTGTGCTTCTTAAGTCACAGCAAATATGGAGAACACATTTCTAACCATTGTCTTCTTCAGTGTTGGTTGAAAGCTTGGACCGACCCCAGACTTCTTTAATGAAACTGTAACACAGCCAGGGAAGCTAATCTAAGAAGGGCACGGGGAGTTTGACATCTCATGTCCAAGTCAGAGGTAAAGCCATTCACTACACTTCAAATTGGTGTTTGCTAACATTTTTTGTAGTCACATTTGTAAAGTCTGTAGTGGGTAGATAGATACCATTGTCTCACATTTAATTTCCTGAATCTGTCCTATCTTCTGCATGCTTCAACTGGCTAATATATTTCACCCCCTCCCCAATTACCTGCTCCCTCTCCAAAGACTGTTCATAATTTTATAACAATGTTGTAAAGTTCAGATGTATCAATAAAAAAACAAGTTGAACAGTGTTTATATATTGCAAATACATTGAATTATACAAATTAAAGTATAAGCCATAAAATCTTTCCATGTCCCACTTAGGATTACTCTTGACTTTCTGTAAACCAGCCTTTAGAATAAAGGATTTTTGTTAAGAATCTTGTTATTTTTAGGTTATTGTATGTTATCTAATTTAAAGCAGACTGCCACAATAAAGTGAATTATGCTTACATAATTATGCTTACTCATTGTAAGGTATGGTTGTTGAATGAAAATAAAACAAAGTCTAAGATGCTGAATTTTGTCAGCAAAAAAATGAATTTTATCAGCAATAAGTCAGTATGCTATGGATGATTAATCGGACATATTATTCTTAATTTCTTGAATCTCAAATTTTAGTTTGCAGATCTCTATCACTGAGAATTAATTGTTTTATGTAGAAGTAATGTTTTAAGATTTGTGAATGATTACTAGAGAACTGGCATCTAGCTCTGAGCATGTGATTCTGTGTGCACCTGAGGTCATAGAAAACAGCAGTGAGTTTTTGTCAGTTCCTCTGAGAAGATGGTGATTGCTTGAGATTGTCCTGCGGCTCTCCACTCATTGCTCCTCACGTGGGTGGAACTTCGGGCCTGTGCTGGGAAGGCAAGAATCGCAGAGTAATGAGAACTGTCTGTTTTTAGATTAACTGTTTGCTTATCTGTTTAACTAATGCAAGACTATTATCCATGTTATCTGAATATTAACTTTCATAAATAGCCCATTTTAACTTAGACATTACAGAATTATATTTATGATGACCTGTTCTGAAAATACTCTTATTTATATTCTAGAGATGATATATTACATATACCTTCAGTGGAATAGATGATAGAAAGATAATAGATGTTTTATCCCTTAGAATAAAGAACATACATGCAACAAAATGACATTGAATGGGTATGCCTTCCATGTCTTATGGTGTTGATTATTGACAGAGTACTACAAAGTCACCATGAGACGACCAGCATTCAGCTGGCCAACATGTGGCCTAGCATTGAGTGGTAGTCATTTTTATTTTTATATCATTTTTATTTAGTTAAGAAGACTTCCTTTTTTATTCTTTTTTTAATAATTTTTTTAAATGTTATATGCATTGATTGGTGTTTTGCCTGTGTATGTGTGTGAGAGTGTTGAATTTCCTAGAACTGGAGATACAGACAGTTGTGAGCTGCCATGTGGGTTCTGGGAATTGAACCTGGGTCCTCTGAAAGAGCAGTTAGTACTCTTAACCATTGTGCCCTCTCTTCAGCCCTCTTTTTTTTTTTTTTTAGTGGAGCTGAGGATCAAATTCATAGCTTTATGCATGCATAGGAGATGCCAGCATAAGCCTACACCTGCAGCCTATATTCCACATAACAGTGGATAGGTTGGGGGATAGCTTAGTGGTAGAATGTTTGGCTAACATGTTTGAAGTCCTCGATTCCATCCCCAACACCACAGTAAACAAATAAGACATCCACTGGTATACTCATTCTGCTTTGTAGCTCAGAACAACTGCTTTCAGGGAGGAATATTATCTACCCTCGAAACATGGTTTTCTTGTATTCACTTAAGAATGTGATAAAGCAGTGGAGGCTTTATTTTGCTTTTGGTTTTGTAGTATTCTGGTGCTATTGTTTGTATGATAAAAGTTTACTACAAAATGCCAGAAGAGCTCCCCTTGCATATTTCTGTCCAAGTCTTTGGATAGGTCAATTCTAATAACCAACTTCTTTTCTCTATCAAAGGACAGTAAATGCCAAATGTTACTGTTAGTTTCCCAGTGATCTCAGATCTGAAGGCTAGACATGGAAATAATGGCAAGCATCAAGTTAGTTGGCACAGTTGCCAGTCAGCACCCTACCTGGCTTTAGCATCACAGACTTGCCCAGAGTTAGCTGTGAGCCAGTGAGAACTGCAGCTGTCAAGGATTGCTGTGGGGTAGGGGAGATGCACAGTTTATGGTTTTGTTGCCTCTACCTCTTCTTTGGGTCTGAAATCTGGAATGCAGAAAAGCTCCCAGAGTTGACCTAAACCCAAGCAATATTCTGAGACAAATCTATCCTGAGATTTGTAACTAGACAAATCGCCCTATGGGAAAACTTGTGGTTAGCCCTGTCATTAGTTAATATTAATGGACTGAGGTTATTTCTCTTGCACAATATTCAGGAACTGAACTTTTCTGAGATGCTTGAGACTCTTGTTGGACAGAGGTTAAAGCTACTAAAACTTTACAACTAAAAACAGAATCCTCAAAGTAAGTTTGGAGCCTGAAGGGAAAAGGAATCTTCTATATTCGTGTATACCCTGTCCAGTTTGGAATATAAGCAGGTATAAATTAGTCAACCAAAGAGATATATGTTGTATTAATTTTGACTTCCCTTTATAGGCATTTTTATTTCTATTTTAAAATGAATCATTTATATAAAATTGATGCATTACTAAAGTGCTATTTGATGCACACTAGGTTGAATGATATTCCACAAAAATAAACCATCCCTGATAATATGTTTGTGGTGACAAGTGCTAGATTCTTGTGAGGAGTGAGCAGCTGGAGACATGGCAGCAGTGTCGAGTGTTGGCCACAGACTCTGTGGCATCTAGGATCATCCTTTCAGTGTCTGATCATCAATAACCATACCGTACTGACTGTACATCTCTAGTCTTTTCACATTTATGAAATTTATCAAATAAAAATTGTCCGATATTTGAGTGCTTCTCCATTATTTGAATTCATCCTTTGTCTTCTCATCATAACCAGCAGTGCCAAGCTTGCTTCAGGTTAGTTTCCCAAGTTAATTCTCCATTATTATATAGAAATAGCATGGCCTTCACCGGCTGTATTGGTGTGGGGGTTGCTTTTTGACGTAAGGTTTTACTCTGTAGCCTGGAACTTATGTAGAACAGGCTGACCTTGAAACTCATCTGCTTCTGCCTCCTGAGGAAGGGTGTGTGTCACAATGCCTGGCATAAAATAATGCTTTTTAAAAAGAGTAACTGTGGGATTAGAGATGTGTCACTTTGTATAAAGCACTTATTGTTTAAGTGTGAGTATCTGAGTTGAGAACACCAGAATCCACATTAGAGCCAGGCCTAGTAACTGTCTGCAATCCAAATGTCCTATTGCTTCTTCTATGGCTGGGTCAGGACTGCCCACTAGGACTTCCTTCTTCCCAGAATTCTCCTGTTCTCCTTGACCCTCCTCTACTTTCTGTCTGCTTGTCCCACCTATACTTACTGCCTGGCTATTGGCCAATCAGTGTTTATTTAAAATAAAATTGGCAGAATATAGACAAGATGTGACTGCCCCGCCAAATAAGGTACCGAGCCACGTCGCTAACACAGACAAGAATAATGGGCTAATATATGTTGTAAGAGTTAATAAGAAGCCTGAGCTAATGGGCCAATCAGATTATAGGCCAATGTAGACCTCTGTGTGATTTCTTTGGGACTTAACGATTGTGGGGACCGAGCAGGACAGAAAAACTCAGACAACATTGAAGTCATTCCTAGAGCAATAAGACAACTGCAGGAGATAAAGGGGGATACAAATGGGAAAGGAAGAAGCCAATGTATCTTTATTTGCAGATTCTATGATAGTATATATAAGTGACCCTAAAATTCCCCTGGGAAACTCCTACAACTGACATAACACTTTCAGCAAAGTAGTTGGACCCAAACTCATCAAAATTAGTAGCCATATATACAAATGACAAATGGATTGGAGAAGAAATCAGGGAAACAACACCTTTCACAATAGCCTCAAGTAGTATACCTTGGATTGACTAATGAAGCAAGTGAAAGACACAAATACTTCAAGATATTGAAGAAATTGAAGCTATTAGAAGATGGAAAGGTCTTCCATGCTCATAGGTTAAGATAGTAAAAATGACTACCTTACCAAAAACAATTCAGTTCAACCCCCATCAAAATTCCAATACAGTTCTTCACAGATCATGAAAGGACAATTCTCACCATCATATGGAAACACACACACAAATGGATGTTTTTTCGATGCATACCACTTAGCAACACTAATCAAGATCATGTAAACAATTTAAATAGATGGATAACCCCTAAGAAAATAGAAATGGTCATTAATCTCCCAATCCCTACCCCCACCCCAAAAAAAAAAAACCCAGGGCAAGAAGATTTTAGCATTAAATTCTACCAGACTTTCAAAAAAGACTTAATGTCAATACTCAAATTATTCCACAGAATAGAAATAGAAGGAACATTGCCAAAGTCATTTTATGAGCCCACAGTCACCCTGATACCCAAGCCACACAAAGATTCAACAAAGAATTGCAGACCAATTTGTCTCATAAACAAGGATGCAAAAATCTCAAATGCTTGTAAACCAGAAAGACTGTCCACCATGATCAAGTAGGCTTCATCCCACAGATTCAGGGATGGTTCAACATATAAAAATCTGTCAATGTAATCCACCATACAAACAAACAAAAAAAAAAACCACAGGATTATCTCATTAGATGCTGAAAAAGCCTTTGACAAAATCTAACACCCCTGCCTGACAAAAGTCTTGAAGAGAATAGGGATACAAGGCAATATACCTGATCATAATATGAGGGAGGAAGAACATTGGTTAATTATAATAAACTGCCTTGGCCCATTTTATTGGTTAGAACATAGGTGGGTGGAGTAAACAGAAGAGAAGGCTGGGAGAAAGAAGCTAAGTGAAGAGTCGCCATGGTTCTCCCACTCCAGACAGACGCAGGTTAGGATCCTCCCTGGTAAGCCACCTCGTGGGCTTCACAGAACATTAGAAATGGGTTAGAACAATATGTAAGAGCTAGCCAATAAGAGGCTACAGATAATGGGCCAGGCAGTGTTTAAAAAAATACAGTTTCCATGTAATTATTTCGGGGCATAAGCCTGCCATGTGGGAGCCAGGGCTGCCAGAACACAGCCCCGCCGCTCCTTCTACAATAATATAAGCCACAGACAGCAAGCCTATAGCCAATATCAAATTAAATGAAGAGGAATTCAAAGCATTTCCACTAAAATCAGGAATGAGACAAGGCTTTCCACTTTCTCATCTATTCAATATAGTACTTGAAGTTCTAGCTAGAGCAATAAAACAACTAAAGAGATCAAGTAGATAAAAATTGGAAAGAAAGATTTCAAAGTATTGCAGCTGATAAATAAGGTAGAATACATAAGTGACCCAAAAAAGTCTATATCAGAGAACTC